CTTGACAGCCTGCTTGGGAATGGAACCAACACACAGGAAACACAGCTGAGAGACAGAAGAGGGATAACTGGGTCTCTATAACATCACCTGAGACCCCCTAAATCTAGCTGTGTTGGAAGCCATTGTGATACTTAGACCTTTCAGTTCTTGAGCATAAGCCAATTAGCTGTGTTTTTGTGCCTTTGAATCCAGAGTCAAGTACATCCTCTCAGTTCCCCCTCCCCCTGGAACTCAGGAACTCCCCCCACCAGGTTCCTGTTCACCATGGTCCGGATCAGTCTGTACTATTTTGTTTCACATACCTGCCTCTTTCAAGAGACATCTTCTCTTAGAAACCAGGGGCATGGCTTCTTTTCCTCTGTCTTTTTTGAAATCCCCCCACCTCCTACATGCCCTTGCACAGAATCACAGAAAAACCCTGTGGAATGAATACTTAATGAATGAAACTCCAGTGGGCTGTTTATAATCAATTAGGTAGTGATAAGTAGGATGAAAACCCTTCTTAATATTTAAAAAATCTTCATTGGAAACATTTTTAAAATCCCCTTAGGAATTCAAATCTGTGTTAGGGGATAAAACCTGTATTCATCATTGTTTGCTGTGTAATAAGTTACCCCAAAACTCATCAGTTTAGAACAATGAACATTTATCCTCTCAGTTTCTCAGGGTCTGGAGTCAGATACAGCTTAGCTGGGTCCCCTGGCTCTGGATTTCTTACAAGGCTATGATCACTGTGTTTCTGAAGCTGTAGTCACCTCAAGGCTCAACTGGGAGAGGAGCTACCTACAAGCTCACTTCATGAGGTTGATTGTAAACCTTAGGTCCTCAATAGCTGTTGGTGGAAGACATCAGTTCCTTGCCACATGGGCCTCTCCATAGGGCTGCTCACAATATGGCACTTGGGTTCCCTCAGAGTAATGCGAGAGCAAAAGAGAGAGAGATCCATGATGGTGGTCACAGTCTTGTTATGATTTAATCTCAGAAACAATATTACAATGCTTTCCCTATATTCTGTTTGTCAGAAACTAATCATTAGATCCAACCCACACTGAAGGAGACATTATTATAGGAGGGCCTAAATACTAGGAGGCAAGGATCACTGGGAGCTATTGTAGAGGTTGCCTACCACAGTCCACCTTCTGACTTCCAAGATTCACATGCATCCCACATGCAAAATACCTATCCGACCAAGGTCCCTAAAGCCTCATCTCATTACACCAGTTCAAAGTCCAGACCTGCATCTAAATTATATTCAGGTGTGGATGAGTCTCCTCAGGTATAGTGGCTTAAATACAGATCTTCTTGATCTGTAGACTAGTGGAATTAAAGAAATAAGTTACCTGGCCCCCATCTATAGTTGTTGATCAGGAAGACATTCTTGTCCAACAAGGCAGAAAACTGGAGGCACAAAGGTTCATTGGTCCATAGAAATTCTGAAAGTCGCCAAGCAAGTCCTAGAAGTTTCTTAATTAAATCCCAAGGCCTAAGATTAATTCTCATGGCTCTTGGCTCTAAGCTCTGGGCTGTTGATTCTGCCCTCTGAGTCATCTTTTCTTATTCTATTTTTTAAACGATTTTATTTATTTTAATTTGAGAGAAAGAGAGACAGCAAGAGAGAGAGAGCATGGGCGGATCAGGAAGAGGCAGAGGGAGAGGGAGAAGCATACTCACCTCTGAGCAGGGAAGCCTGAAGGGGGCCTTGATCCCAGGACCCCAAGATCATGACCTGAGCTGAAGGCAGCTGCTTCACTGACGGCAGCTGCTTCACTGACTGATCCACCTAGGTGGCCCTCATCTTTTCTTTTTTATGAAAGGTAGCACATTTTTGTAGCTGAGCAGCTCTCTCAGTCTGCTTCTTGCCAGCAGTATTCTAGGGGTTGAAAAAGTCTCCTCATTCTGTACCGTTTCTGTCCCCTGTAGACAAGTTGGCAAAGTTTCTACAAATATAAGTCTTTTAAGAAACTTGTAGGTCTTCCGTGGATCTGTTTGGGACTCACTCCATTAGGCAAAAGCCATAGCTACAAATTTCTCTGTGATAAGCCCCTTCTGCTTTTGCTGAGATGGTTGAGGTCCAATACCCTTAACTTTTTAAGGCCCTATAGTTTGATTGAGAGGATTTGTGAAGCAAACCCTTAATCTCTTATGATACTATAAGAAATATGTGTTTGCTCTTCATCCCCAGCTTCTGGCCAGAGGGATAATAACAGTAGGAACATCTTTTGTTATACTATTTGAGTTTTGTCCCTAGCTCCTGAAACATCTCCAGGCTGATAAAGCTGAAAAGGACACCTTTTTTAAGTTTGTGTTAATGAGGTAACTTTTGGAAAGTCCCTAAGGTTGGGGGGGGGGGCTGGTTGCTAGGGGGAACAACCACATGATTAGAGAGTTAGAACTTTCAGTCCCGCCTCCTGATTTCAGGGGCCACTAATGGCCAATTATTTAATCGATCATAACGATGTAAAGAAGACTCCATAAAAATCCTGCCTGAAGGGGATCAGACAGCTTCTGGGTTGGTGAACACTTGGGAGTGCTGGGAGGAGGTGCCCTTGGAGAGGACAAGGAAGCTCTTGCCCTTTCCCACATTCTTTACCCCAGGCTTCTCTTCTAGTTGGCTATTCCTGAGTTGTATTCTTTATAATAAATGGGCAATAGTAAGTAAAATGATTTTTTGAGGTCTGTAAGTCATTCTGGAAAGTTATTGAGCCCAAGAAAGGTGTTGTGGGAACCCCCACCCCTATTTATAGTTGATTGGTCAGAAGTATAGGTGACAAGTGGGACTTGAGATGGGTGTCTGAAGTGGGAGAGGGAAGGTTGGTGGGACTGAGTCATTTACCTGTTGGGTCTGCACTAATTCCAGGCAGTTAGTGTCAGAATCTAGTTAAATTCTAGGACACCCAGTTGGTGTCCTATGAGAACTAGAGAATTGCTTGGTGTGAAAAACCCACATATCTGGTGTCAGCAGTGTTGTAAGTAGATGGAAATAGTATTTCCTTCTTCTTTCAAGGAGCTTTTATAGACTGAGTTACCACCTTTGATCTTTCTGAGATCTTAACAAAAAGTTTTACTTTTATATCCTAGGTTTCTTATTTATTTATTTGACAGAGAGAGAACGAGTGAGTGCACGAGCTGGGGGTGTGGGGGAGAAGGTCAGAGGGAGAGGAAGAGAAGGACTCAAGCAGGCTCCACTCTCCAGTATGGAGCTCAATGCAGGGCTTGATCTAATGACCTTGAGATCACATCCTGAGCCAAAATCAAAAGTCAGATGCTAACTGACTGAGCCACCTAGGCACCCCTCAGTTTCATCTTTAGACACTGTTTTCCTGGTAGTGCCTTACATTTGATATTTGTTTGAATGGTATCCAGGAGGCTGAAGAATTTTAAAACCTTTTCTTTGGGAAGGGGGGTGGTAGGGACTATAATTGTCTTTCCCTCAGTTTATTTCTCTTCTCCTTCATTTTAGCATAGAAAGCAAAAACAGACCAGGTGACACCTCCATCACTTTGGAAACACCCGTTAACTGATCACCTAGTTCATTAGGAATATTTTCTACTTTCCATATAACTGCAAGTAATGGTGTTGATAACCTTTCTGCTCTTTCATAATAAGGCCCCTCCTCTTGCAGTTTCTTTTTTTTTTTTAATTTTTTAAAAATTTATTTAAGAGAGAGAGAGAGAGAGATCTAAGTCGACAGAGAGGCAGGCAGAGAGAGAGGGGGAAGCAGGCTTCCTGCTGAGCAGAGAGCCTGATGTGGCGCTTGATCCCAGGACCCTGAGATCATGACCTGGGCCGAAGGCAGAGGCTTAACCCACTGAGCCACCCAGGTGCCCCCTCTTGCAGTTTCTAATAGCATATTTCTCATTGCCTTCTGAACCCTCACCAGCAGTGTCTCCAAAGCCGAGATTTCTACTGTTTATTCAAGACAATTAGGCTTTCTTTAACACGCTCCTCAAATTCCTCCTAGCTTCTGTGCACTGCTCAGTTTCAAAGCCACTTGCACACATATCTGTTCTAAGAACCTTACTTCCAGGAACCAAAAATCTGTATTTATCCCTTTTCTCCTCTTACCTCCAGAGGTGACTATTACAACATACTTAAAACATCATTTGGTTTGTGAAGACTTCTTATAAAATTATGCTCTTGTTTTATGAGCATACATTTTTATTTTCTTAAATGGTTTTCTTAAATGGTAGTGTTTTAGATATCTCATTCTCTTTCCCGCTCTTTCCAACCATCACTATGCTTTCAAGCTCCATCCATGATGTTATGTGTGATTATGTGTGACTAGATGTCGTCAGTGGCTTCCAACTGTGTGTAGTTCACTGTGGGTTACACCCCTCCCCATGTTTTCTATGTCCAGTGCCCTAGGGGTGGGTACCCAGCTGATCTCTGTCTTCATGCCCTCATCACAAATAATGTGGCCATGAGCATCTTAATCCATAGTCCCTTAGGAATTTGTGTGAGGATGTCTTTGTGATATATGCATACCCAGAAGTGGAATTAATGATGCTTAGGATATACATAGGCTTAAATTGACTAGGAAGTGCCAAATTACTCATAATCTTCATGCACTAGTGCTCATTCCTACCCACCATGCATCAATGAACTTGATGCCACATCTAGGCCGACATTCAGTATCATCATCCAGCTTAAAATATTTTTTCAGTCTATTTGGCATGAAATTATATCTCATTAATATTTTAATTGGTGTTTTTCCTGATAATGGATGAGTTTGAGCATCCCCTCATATATGTTTGACTTCCCTCTTCCATGGATTGCCTGCATTTACCCTTGTTTGTATCCCTGATTTTTTAAGATCAGAGAGCAGGTATGATTTCTCCTGCATTCTCTACTGCTCCCAACAACACTGATGGATGTTGATTGATGATTGATGAGAAGGTCAATGTGGTTGTGTTAATTGAGCTTCTGGATTTTGAGGCCTACTTTTCCTCCACAGAGCCTGAGGTGTTTGCCTTCATTCATTCAGAACACATTCATCAAATGACTACCCCATGCCAAGTCTTCCCGTGCAACTCTCCCTCCCGGCAAAGCCCAAATGACCTGTCAGTCACTCTATCAATTGAACAGAAGAATGAAACTGGTCACACAAGTCATCTGGCATCAGACAGACTCTGGTAACATTTTACGTGCCATTTGATAGACTCTAATGTTCTATGATCCTCTGACTCTAACTCACTGACTAGCTGATTTTTTTCCTTAATTGTTGTTTTTAACTGCCATGTGCCTAAACCAAGGCAAGATCCAAGCAATCTAGGCTATGTGTTTGCACATCAATAGGAAACCCCAAACAGCCTTTTGTTAAGTGTCTCTGTTTGTGAGGCACAGTATTACATGGTAGTGAACTATGATTGCTGAAAATTATCACAGATTGCAGAGTCCTTACTGTACTCTACAAAGGTCACAAGTCTCCATGTGACAACATTTATTGGCATTTCCAGAGAGAAGTGTTCTCAGCCCTAACCTAGCTACTCCCACATCCACCCACTCCAGGGCAGGGTTAGGAGCCCAAATCTGTTAAGTCTTGACTGAAATACCTCTACCCTATATGGTCATTATCTTTTTATTTGTTCTTCCTCCTCTAGATTTGGGACACATGGAGGACACAGATTGTGTCTTATTAATTTCTTTAGTTTACTGTACTTAGCAAGGCATTTGTCACAGAGTAATTTTTCAGTAAACATTTATTGACTTAATGAATGGACACATGAAAAAATATTTATTGAGCACCTACATACCACATACTATGTCAGATGCTAAGAATTCATAGATGAATAGGACACAGTTTAATCATAAAATAGTGTGGAAAATGTACTGAGGAGGAGCACCGTATCTTATGGGGAAAAGAATGTCAAAGAAGGGATGCCACACTCATCTTGCAACACTCATCTTTCTTATCTCCAAAAGAGTTCTTCCGCCTTAAGTTCTGGATATGGCTTGCACTTTACTTGCAAGAAATAGGCTCTTTCTGTGGGTACATGTGTGAGAGAGGTGTGGGTGTGGATGCTGCCTGTCCACATGTGCCTATTCCATCATAGCCTGAAGTTAGTACAGGGAGGTTGAAGGCTATTTGCCCACCTTCCAAGTGGCTGGGATAGCTATAGCTGCATTCGGGGCCGTAGTGTGGACAGAAAGGTGAGCATCACAATATTGGACCCTTAATTCCTTTGGTATGTGATCCAACAGTTGGGAAAATCTAAGCTGGTTTAGGAGTGAGCTTTTGCAGCTCCATCTCAAATCCATGTCAATTTTCAACTCTTTGGTCAAGTGAAAGGGACTTGGGTCAAGTTCTGTCCAAATGATCAGGCTTTGAGGGAAACTTGGTCAAGTACGTTTGCTGAAAGGTCTAGTTATGTGCCTCTTGGAAAATATACTAGTCAGGTCTCTGCAGGATCCTTGTCTCACTTCATATCAGCTCAGTGACAAAGTGTGGGCAGTGACTTCTAAAATGGACACTAGGTATGGGACCCAGTGGGGAGGTATGCTAGATTTGGCATTATGTCTTCCACAGAGAAACAAACACTCATTTCTTTGTTTTTACTTTAAAAGATACTTCTTATAAAAAAGATTTCTTTGTAAAGAATCACTTAATACTTGATATTTGAACAAGTGAAACAAATTCAGGTTTCCCTGAGCAAATCCCTAAAGAGATTTCCTTCGTTTCCATATCTGTGGACTTTGGATAGCAGTCTAATGTGACATAATCTTCAATACATTTCTTTTTCATTGATATTCTATAGGGCAGAGTTCTTTTATCTTTATTTGCTCCCTAATCTTGAAGCATTTGCTCAATAACCACCGTGTGGGGGTTCAGTTAAATATGCAACTCTTGCCTTTGCCACTCTTTTACAAAATTATTGAAATAGTTTTCTCCTGTGCATTTCCCTCTATTTTTATGGACTCAGCCACTGATAGCCAGGATCTGGTGCATGTGAGTTGCCCTTGTTTGTTTGTTTAGGGTCTGTGAGCATACCCATCATAAACCAAAACAGTCAATAGCAGATGAATTGATGAAGGCTACCACCAATAATAATTGGGCAATGTGGGGACAACCAATAGAGAAAGGGTTGGCAAACATTTTCTCTAAAGGGCCAGAGAGCAAATATTTTAGGCTTTGTGAGTCATAGAGTCTCTGTCATGACTACTCACCTCGGCTGTTGTAGTGCCAACTCAGCTGTAGACAATATGAAAATGAATGAGCATGGCTATATTTCAATAAAACTTCATTTACAAAAACAGGCAACAGGCCAGATTTAGCCTGTGGCTATAGTTTACTGATACCTAACCTAGGATAGAAACAAGTAGCTTTAGGGGCACCTGGGTGCCTCAGTCGGTTAAACATCTGCCTTTTGGCTCAGGTTATGATCTCAGGGTCCTGGAATCGAGCCCCATGTCGGGCTCTCTGCTTAACAGGGAGTCTCCCTTGCACTCTCCCCAACCCCATCAAATTAAAAAAAAAAAGAAAAAGAAAAGAAAAGAAAAAAGAAACAAGTAGCTTTAGCCATGAAAAAGATATAAGGGTCCACCCCTTTGAAAGTCTAATTTTGCCCTGTATCTCAGCATATAGCATCTGCTGTCTAGTTTTGTTTCCAGAGCATTAGGTTTATAGGGGACGTGAGGGGTTAGAGTAACCATGTTTACAGAGGATTCAATGACAAGAAGCTCCAAGGGCGCCCTTCCCTTTTGTTTTCAAAACTCTTGTCCTGTCCTAGCTGGGCTGTGGTAATGGGCTGAAATAGAGAAGGGTCTGGAATGGAAACCAGCCACTCCACAGAGGATCTGTGTCTCCCGGGGGAGTTGGGGTTTGGTCCTTAGGGAGAAAGAAGAGATGTGCTTCTAGGAGTCTACTCTAGTGGCCCAGAGATAAGCAAGAAAAGAGACCAAGTTCCCCAAATTCTCCTGGGTGCAATGTTAGTTCCAGTTTTGGAGAGGTCAGTTTCAGAGCACAGTTTCTAGGCACAGAGTTTGGCTAGTGGTTTGTGTTTCATTGGTAAAGAAGATCTTATGGTAGTTCTGGTGCTTTCTTTGCAGCCATTGACAGATGTGAACAATCCGTTGCCATGTGGACTCCTTATACAGTTTCGCCATTTGCCAAAGCAATGATTCCACTGCTTCCATGTGGGACACAAGGGACGCAAGTAAGAACTAAAAGAAAGGTAAGAAACTGAAGGTCAGGTATCCTTTACTTGGAAGAGGGCCAGTAAGTACATTAATGAATGTATGGAGTGGAAGTTGCAGCTGAGACCAAATTCTAAGATTGTGGTTAATTTTCTTTCTACCTGGAGTAGATCCATAATCTTGCTTTTTGCTCTATCATTTTTTTTTTTCTCAAGTCTGAGCAAACACAAGCCATCCTTGAGTTCCCAGCTCTGGTAGGTTCCCAAGTAAGCAGCATCTGTTGGATGGAGAAGTAGTTTATACCCAAGATGTTTTTAGAGGGCTGAAACAGCGTTGGTGTCTTGGCCATCAATTAGACAGGGGGAGAGGGTAAGCAAAGAGGCAGCAATGAAGTTGATAATTACACACTATAGTACCATTGACCTCCAAGAGCAGGTGGCGGGGGCAAGTGAAATTCCAGGCTCTGTCACTCAAGATTCACTTTTGCTCTTGTGTTTCGGCCTGAGGGGCTGCTCATTGATCTGGAAGAGATTATCTACACCATCTTGTTAATAATAAGGACAATAAGAAAATAATGTTTTTAATACTGAAGGATATTTTCCTTTCCTTAGTTGCTTGAAAGTTGCTATTACATTTTTAAAACCTCTGTCTTTACTGTTCTCTCTTTATGTATGTGTGTGTATATATGTATACATATATACATCTACATATATATACAAATTGGGAAGATCAGCGTCTATATCTATAGTATGAGTTCAATATTCACTGCTTCTTTATTTTTAAAATTTATTTATTTATTTATTTATTTGCGAGAGGGTGGGGAGAGCATGGACAGGGGAGGGGCATAGGGAGAGGGAGAGGCAGACTCCCTGCTGAGCCGGGAGCCCTGTGCTAGCCTTGATCCCAGGACCCAGAGATCATGACCAGAGCTGAAGGCAGACGCTTAACTGATGGAGCCACCCAGGTGCCCCAGTATTTACTGCGTCTATAGAACTAGCCCTTTGTTGAGGCCTTTGCAGCCCTAATATTTCCATTTATTCACCTTTTTTTTTTTACAGAACCTCCTCTACTCCTGGGTCACAGGTCCAGAGAGGAGGGCCCAGAAAAGGATACCCAAGTCCTGGCAACAGATTTGGTGACCATCCTTCAGCCTTCCCAGTTGCGCTTGCCATTTTCAATATCACTCAGAGCTGTGGTTCCAATTCTGTCCCCTTGTGTCTCCAGCATCTCTCCCTCCCAGGGAGGCAGCTTCGCTTTTGGTCTTCAGTGGGGTGGAGAGGTGAGTGTGTTGTTTCAGGTTGCCTGTGTTCCATCCTGGGCAGCGTGGAGTCAAGGCAGAGGGTATGGAGAGCGGGACATAACAACTTCATTTTCTCTAGCTCTTGAGCCCACGTCAACCCTTCTTACAATAACAGACCCCAATCTGCAGCTGGTGCCTGGGACAGATGGAGATCTTGGCAGAAGCTGAGATTACTTTCCAATTTCACTGAGATTATAAAAACAACATTTTTGAACTTTAAATCCTGGCACTCATGACCCTGAGTATTTTCTTTTTCTTTTGTCACTGCATTCTTTGAAGACCAAGTCACCTGTTCCTTCATCTAGAGACAATGTTTCAGGCGATAAGAAAAGACAAATTATCAGAAACCCCAGAGGCGCCAATTATCTACTCTTTTGATGCTAACAACTTGCATTTCAACCCATTCATTTATATAAAAGTGACTACCTCTTTCTGTTCACATTCTTGGAGCATGGGCGGGTGGGGTTTGTCTCTGCCAAAAAGTAGCCCGATCAAATTTTTTAAATGAACAAGAGTCAAAAAAAAAAAAAAAAGGTAAATTGACTTTTTACAGGGAAACAGGCCATTCCTCAAAAACTATTAAAGATTCTGTCATCCAGAATATCCCTATCCTGTTGACCTTATTTACAGATTTCATGAAATATACATCATCGTAACATTGATATATGGACCCCGTAGCATCCAATTTCTTGAAGGCATATGAACCTGATAAGGATGCTGGTCATGTACTCATAAACGTGGGGGCAATATAAATGAGATGATGCCCCATGGAATATGACACCTACAGATGCTTTCCTAAAATACGCTCATATCCTTTGGAAACAAGGCAATTTGGCTCTCTACCTTGGCTCTGAATGAAATAATGTTCTAGGTGGGGGAGGCAGGTAATAAAAGCGACAATTGTGAAGTGTTACTGGCAGTTTTTTCATTTTTACTGCAAGCTGGGGCATACATTTGTCTTCACTGTCAAGGGGCTGGAGGTGTTTACAAGTTAAAGACAAGGAAGCAGGAAAGCTTATTCCATTCTCTCAGCCGGGAAAGCACCCGTTTCCTTATCACGAATCCAAAACCACATCTTGGGCAAGAATTAGGTGACCCATTGCTTTAGATTTGGCCTGGTTTGGAAGGTTTCCTTGCTCCTTTCCCCATACCCGCCTGGTGGTATGGAAAGACCTGGCAAGAGTTGCTCTCAGAGGGTGACAGCGAACCAAACTGAGCCCTTTCTGCCCCTTCCCCCCGTGTCAGCCCACTGGACCCTGAGAACAGCTGTGGGGTCTAGCCTTTGCCAGTTGACAAAACCTTCCTAACTTTTCTCATCCTTCAGGGGAAACAAAAAGTGGGTGCAGTCATTTTGGAAGCAGAGTGATCGTTCGTTGGTCGACTCCTTCTCTGTAGACAGTGATGCAGGTCGAAAATGTTTATTCTGCATCCGGGCCTCCCCATCTGTTGACGATCCATCTTGATCCAAAGTGGGAGGCTCATTACTCTCAGAGCGGCTCTACACATACTGGGTGAGAATAAGAAGGAACTTGTAAACCTTCCCCGTACTTTGAAGAAAAACCAGCCCAACCCTTTCCTTCAGAGGTATTTTTCGGGGGCGGGGGGGGGGGAGGGGGAACACAGCTGAAAGGGAGATGCGCGCGCATGCACACACACACACACACACACACACACACGCACACACACACCACACTTCAAAACAAATCTAAAATGCAAGGAACTTCAGACATGGGAACAGGGACTGAAATCCTAGCCCAGAGCTTGCAAATCCACAGCAGCCGAATAGCAAGCCTCTGTGTGCCCCTCTTCATATATGAACAGTCAACAAAGCAACTGCAGGTGATCCGGCCTGATGCCGTGGAGGCCTCTCAGATGGCCGGGCTCCTGCAAACTTATTCACTGCCTCATTAAAGCAATTTCAAAATCAATTCTGGATTTGACAAGCCGTCAGTACATTGTTGCTCCTCGGTGATGGGAGTGACACGTTAACAGCAATTAGACTTTTGCACACGCACGTTGGAGCCTGTTCAGCATATTCTTTATTAGAAGAGCCTAAAAAGCGTTATTATAATCATCTAACCTGGGGTCATGGACACATGCTCTATGATCTCTGCCTCTGTCAGCAGTCCCCTTGGTGAAATTTTGCCTATTGTCCGTAGAGATTAAAAGGAAGTGCTTACCCCAGATGCGATATTGGAAAATCAAAGGTCAGAGCAAAGCTTTTGCTAACCTCCATGTTTTTTAATACAAGTTATAGGAGCAATCAGATTAGCATGAACAGATATTGCGCCTTCTAACAGATGGAGCAGGATTCTTATGCAAACGAGGGAGGACAGGCTACAGTCGGTTGGTGGCAACGTTCTGGGGGCAGGAGTGGGTTTGGCCAGCACTTGGACAGTGAGGATGGCAAAGCCTTCACTCCAGAAATGCTCAGAGGCACAGCAGTCCTTTATGTCAAGGAAAATCACCTCCTTCTGTAATAAAATCAGCCTATCCTGTTTGGAATGGTCCCTTTTATGGCCAGCTCTCTTGGTCAGCTAAAGTCATGAGTGGGAGGTGTTTTCCTCTCTGCTTTGGGAGCCCCACAGAATCTCCTGAAAACGAGTAATGTAACCCGATCTTCCCAAGACTCTGCCATCCAAATAATCCTCAAATCTCATTGGACCCCATTTATTTCTAGGTAGTCCCAAGAGAGAGTCTCTCATGTGCCCACAGACAATTCGTTCCTGGTCTTCTCTTCTGATTTCTGCTTTGATGGCTACCGTTTGAGAGTGGTTTTATGTCCAGTGCGAATAAAGCTAACATCTTACAACAACCACTCAAGTAAGAACTTTTATTATTTCTACTTCGAAGATGAAAAAATAGGAGAGCAGCAATGTTCATCCAGTTGCCCAGTATCTCGTTGCTAGAACACAGGATGCAAACTCAGACAGTCTGGTTTCCAGTCACTTGTAGTGTCATTACTTGATATTGCCTCTTAATTAAAAGCTGATTTCCACACGAGGGAACCACCTCCCCAAGCTCCCAACATTGCAAGATATTCAATGTTCCAGGAAACATTTATTGACTGACTGACTAATGGATTCATGGAATGAAAGAATTTGACTTCATGATGGCCAGATTCACGCAGGGGTGTATAATATTTCAAATTCCCAACCTTTCCAAGCAAACTCAGTTTGCTTACACTGACCAGCTATTTAAAATTGTAAACAGCTCTCAACTCTACAGTCTATATTCTCTCTCCCTGCTTTAAGTGGTGATGTTTGTTACCACTGACATACGGTGTATTTTATTTGCATATCTCTTCCTCTAGAATATAAAAGCAAGAATTTTTCAGTGCTTTGTTCATTGCTCTTTCAGTGTTAAACAGTGCCAGCAACAAACTGTGGTCTTGATAATTGTTGAGTAAATGAAAGGGTTATGTATTTCAGCTGTAAAGAGGACAGGGAATATGTCCTATCTTTGGTTCAAATATAGATCCACAGACCTATGTGCATCACTGATGAGAAACTCGACATGAAAAACTAGAAGGAATTTAGTGCTCTTCTTGCCTCTTTGTCATTTTCAGAGAATTATTTGCTTTTGATAACACTGAGCTGAGAGTAGAACCAGAACTAAAAGTCCATGTCTGGGTGCTTTCCCTCTCCACATGCTACCACTTAGTGTGGCCAGATCTAGGGATTTCCTTTTCCACTTACCTCGTTATTAAATGTCTTCTCTGAAAGCCCCCAACAGATCGGATGTTGCCCCCACTCCCACTTTGGGTGCCTTCCTGGTTGGCTGACTGCAGGGGCTTTAGAGGGTCCCTGTCGTTTTGTTGGATGGGTGGTTGCTAGCTTTTGAAGCAGGGCTGCTCATTGCTGATTTCCCCCAGGCGCTGGTTTTTGAAGCCAACACTTCAAAGGCAAGCAACATTTGAATTCCTCAGCTATTCATCCAGTTGGTCAGACTAGATGCACACCCTCAAGAAGCCGTTTGTTACTTTCAGTGGGGGCAGCAGATGAGCAGGAAGCCACCATTTGGAGGAGAAGCTGACAGTCTACCATGAGGATCAGTAGGTCTGCAAGGGGTCTGCTTTGGGTTAATATTTTGATGTAAAGTTTCCCAAAGAGAGGTTTTAGGAAAATCAAGTGTGGAAATTGTGTGTGTGTGTATGCGTGTTTGGTGATGGTGATGATGATGGTGATGATGGTGATATTGATGATGATTTGGGGTGATAGATAGGCAAAAGGTTGAGAAGAAATCTTAGCATTTCCGACAAGAACGAATAGAACAGCAGTTTTGCAAATTGTGATCCAGGGATTCTTGGGGGTTTCGGAAACCTTTCTGGGGGGTTCTATAAATTCAAAACTGTTTTCATAGCAACACTATGATATTATTTGCCCTTTTCACGTCATTCTCTCATCAGTGTACTGAGGAGTTTCCAGAAGCTACCCACCATGTGCTATGGTGAAAGAATGAACGCAAACACAGGAATGAGAAACTAGCTGTCTTCTAGTAAGCCAGCTAGTAAGCAAATCTACCAAGAGATTTGCAAAAAACATAAAACGATGTCCCTTTTCTCCTTTTTGTGAAAAAATGTGGCTACTTTCCATAAAATTATATTTTATGTTAACATATAATAGACTTATTTTTAAATGATTTAATAAATTTAAACAATTTCCCAGTTTTAATTTAAAAAACATATATATATATTTAGATCAAGATAAAGATCTATATCTATATATATCTTGCACTATAAATAAAAACACTTTCAGATCCTCAAAATTTTTAAAAGAGTGAAGAGGTCATGAGACCAAAAAGTTTGAGAACCGCAGTAATAGGACTGTCAAAACTTGGTCTGAATAAAAGCCACAGAAATCATACATTTCACAATGAGAAGAATCCTTGAAACATGATCTGGTCTCATCCCCTAGCTTGCTCAGGCAGGCTAGGTATTATCCCTTTTTACATCCCTTTTTACATGGGATTACGGAGACCCAGAGGGTTCATAGAGTTCCCCAAAACTCCACAGCCGTTGAGTGCAGTTAGGGAGAGAAGTGAGGTTGTGGCAAGATTGGGATGACAAGTCTTACACCTTTTCATGCAGACTGAGCCCTACCCACCGCACCACTCTGCCAGGGACATGAATGGTCCTTACTAAGAAACTGTAAACAACACACATACAAACCTATTTCTTTTCTTTTTTCTTTTGGCTGTTAAATCTACCTTTGGTAACTTTTCTGGTGGTGGATCTGAATATGCTAGAAAGAGCTATTTATTTGCTTAGCTTATTGGATTTAGAAATTGTGGGCTGAAGTTGGTGATGTTGGCAATGCTTGCTGCAGTGCTTGCTGGGCTCATCTTGTGGAGGAATCCACTTCCATACTCACTGGTTAGGCTGTTGGCAAGCTTCAGGCTCTGGCTGGCTGTTCATTAGACTTTAGTTCCTTGCCACATGAACTTCTCCACAGCTGCCCAGCTCACAACATGGCAGCTGGCTTCCCTCAGAGTAGGTTTGAGGGGGAGAGGCTAACCAAGATGGAACCCATAGTCTTCTTGTTACCTAGCCTTGGTAGTGACACCCCAGAACTTTCACCATATTCTGATTGTCAGATATCAGTCTCTAGGTCCAGCCCACATTCAAGGGAAGGGAGGGGGTTACATATAGGTATGAATACCGGGAAGCATGGATCCTGGAGAGCCATCTTAAAGGCTGGCTACTGTAACCTCTAACCTAACATTTGATCCTCTCCCTTATCTGGTGACCTCATCACACAGTGCTTTTTAAGTGTAAATAACTTGTGCTCATTATCTATGGGACAGTCTGATGCAGAGGTTAAAACCATGACCTCTTCCGGGATTTGATCTTAGCTCTATGGCTCTGATAGTTTTGACCTCAAGCAAGCGACTCTGTGTCTCAGTTTCCCACCCATAAGATAGGGCTGATAAACGTTGTTCCTTCATGGGAGTTGTGAAGATTGAGTTACTACACATTACAGAGCTGTTAAAACCATGGCTGGCATGGAGTAAGCACCATATGGGTACTTACAGTTACAGGTTTCTCCCACCATCTGAAAGTCGAGTATTCCTATTAGGCTTCTCTGATATCTTAGGACAAATCTTGCTAATGGATGCACAAAATAAATGGAGATAAAGCACAGATGCTCACGGACACAGCTCAAAGCTATGACGGCTTGATGCTGAGTGAAATTGCCAGGGACGGAGTTTGGGGGAGCCACTCTCATGGCTCGGGGTGGACCCTGCCTCAATAATGGCTCACTTTAAAACCAACACTGAACACTATTGTACTTTTTGCTTTTTCTCATAAAAGTGAAAAATCATTTTGGATTTCTTTTTGTTGGCAAAACCAAATCCTAATGTAGATCTTTTCATATAAGTGAAGGGCCATAACATGAACGTTTGAAAAGTGGGTCCCTGTATTCCCACTATGCACCAGGCATATTATACATTATTTATTGTGAACAATATCCCAATACAGTAGGTGTTTTCACATCATCTGACTAATGAAAAACTGCTTAGAGAGTTTAAGCATCTTGCCCAAGGTATCATCTCTGGTAAAGGATGGGACTGGGGTTCTTTACCAGGTTTGTATAGCCCCAATTCTGGCCTTCTACTGTTACTTTAGGGAATGCAGCATGGAAGGAAAATGGTCAAGGAGAGTAAAATAGGAATATGCCTAAGGTATTGTAGATATAATTATGAGTTAAAAGGAGACATTTTTTGATCATTCCTACATACACAAATGAGGGTTTTTCTAGGACTAAATTTAACTTTGAAAATAAATGACTGGTAGCCAGGCAGACTCAAAAATAACCAAGTTCTCAGGTGATAATTGTTTACCATGTGATTTTTTCCAATCCTTTCTATGGTACTTACCTTGCAATGAAATGATCAATAGTTATCCTGTAAGTAGCAAGTATGCCCATGAAATTTGTGACCTGGAAAATCAGCCATTATGAGAGAGGAAGTGTTAAATGGTCTGGAAATGATCGGTGGGAAGGTAAAGCTGCCTCTTTCTTTCGACATATCTACTGAGGCACTAAATTCAGAGATACCCAAATAAATTCCCAGTCTGTGAATTGGCACCATCTTCAGGCTCTTTCACAGAGGAGCTGGAGCTGCCTGTGGCGGGGTCTCTGTCCAGGCTGGGAGTGTCTCCTTGAACACCTAGGCAGGGAGGTGTGGCTCTCTAGACCAATTCAATAAAAACTCCATTATCAGTTTTCAGAGCAGCACGTGACTAAGCATGGCCAGTTGTGGTCTGGTGGGGCACTGAGTTGGTTGCTCTCAGCAGAGGTGGGCATGTTTCCTATGACTTCCTTGTAGAGAGAAACTTCAGGGATGGCCAATGTTTGTTGATGGGCCTTGGGAGATTGGGGGGCAACCACTCCTTCTACCATCAGTGTAGGGAGACCACACTGGAAAGAAGACAGCCTCTGTTGGTCTCTATATCCTCTCCAAAAAGAGATAGTTCCATAATTACTCATTCAGGAGTAAGGAAAAAGGGCAAGACCAGTTCTTCTCCCTGAAGAACCTGTATCTTTACTGGGGATTCATGATGGAGTCCTATGAGCCAATGGGACCCTGTCAATAGTAACTGGGAATATCAGAGTCTGAAACATTCAGAAAAGATCTAGTGAGAAGGGTAGGGTTTGAGCCAGGCCTAGAAGTCTTTAAAAAGACAAAGGAAGGAAAAACCCAAATTCTTTAGCTTTCTAGGATATGGCCATGATCTCCCTTTTCAAGCCTTGGATTCCAGGGAAGCAGCTTACTGCAGAGAATGTGGACCGGCTTTGGCATTGGGCAGACTTGGCTCAAAGTCTGGGATCTCTAATCACTTGCTGTTGGGACCTGAAGCACGTCACTTAATTTCTTTGAAGTTCTGTTTTTCCACCTACAAAATGGGAATAATAAAGCCTACTGAGAGCAATACTAAAGATTTTATGGAAACATATGTACTTATACCTAGAAGGTGTTCAAGAAACATCAGCCCCTTTCCTTTTTGCTGGCCCTTCAGAGACTCTACTGGACCCTATTAGGCCCGCATGCCAAGCCAAGCCACTCCTGTGTCCACATCATCTTATGCCAACCTTAGTCTCTTGAAACCCTCCATCAAGGCTGCCATCAAATGCCATCTCCTCCATGACCTTCCACAGCCTTTCAGCCATAAGGGACCTTTCTTCATACTCTCTTAGTCGCTCTGTCAGACATTCCTCCCAGTCTCACTGGATATTTGCTACTAAATTACTTGGGCATACTCCCATCTTTTTTTGCCAGGAAATAAGCTCCTTAGGAGCACTGACCATGTCACATTTATCTTTCTAGAGCCACAACAAGAGCAAAGACACAGGAGCAGGCATGGCTGTGGTGTGTTCAGGGGCACAATATCAGCCTGGTTAAGAGTGATGGTTTGGGTCAGGACAGTGCAAAACTTGGCAGCTTGGGAACGTCACGGCATTGTCCCAATTCCTTTTCCCTGCTGGAGTGTAGCACCCTTTCCATGGCTTTTGAAGTTGACTTGATATATATCTGAGTCTAGTTCACTTTAATGTACTTAACACTCAAACTGGAAACTATCTTTCCCACAAAGCTGGTTATATCAGCTCTCTGGAGGAGAGGTGACTATATCTGGGTCACAGTTTTAATTGGGACAGTCAACTCGAACGGAAATGCTCTAAAAGACAAGTTGGGTGTGCCCATCTCTGCCAATTAGGAAGCCAGCTGGGGTTGCCCCCAGTTGTATGTGTAGTGCTTGTTAAACCTCCCGTATAGTTCACGTCATAGGCCATTCCATACTTGTTCACAGAATTAAAACTCAAAAGAGATGAAAGGAGCTGCCCGACCCTCCACGGAAGAGTCTTTCCTCTCCAAAGCTAGGATGTTCTGAGGGAAAAATTCTAAAGTAGATCTGAGACCCCGTCAATTAGAACTCGAAAAACCAACTCCAGGTGATGGGGATACAGAGAATGTGTCAGAGTTGAGCGTCATGTTAGCCAGACGGAAAGTGCCTGGCTATTTAAAGGTTTTCTTTGATTTTTCACAGGCTTGCTGCATTTTCAGAAAGGTCTATAGTGATTATATTCATAATTGCACAGATCACACAACTAGTTGGGATCAGAGCAGGGCCTAGTGGTGCTATCCTCTATTTACTGTGTGCTTTTTACATTGGTAAAGTCCTGTTTCATACTTTTATTTCTCAGAACCAGTTATAGAGGGCTTACTGTCCCCATTTGAAAGATGAGGCAGCTGAGGTTCGGAGCAGAGTCAGTTAAATGGTAAAACTTCTCATAAAGAGCTGCTTTCCCTGACGTATCCCCTTCTCCCCTCCTATCTGGAGCCAGGGGTGGACGTCTGCAAGGAGGCTGTTCTGGGACTGTGTACACGGTAGAAAGAGAACCCTCGGGGACACGGCCACCTCGGGAGACGGTCGGGAGCATCACTTAGCCACCCCTCAGTCCTGGAAAGCCCCGGGTTGTGCAGCCCGGGGACCGCCGTGCCTTCCCCAAGAAGTTCCCACGGCGGCACTCCTGGCATGCTATGCAAACCTCAGGCTCACATTTTCAGACAGCCGTTAGCAGGCCACAGAAGTTCCCCAAGACACTTGGTAAACCTTGGCCAAATCTGTTCCGACTTTGTGTGGGTGGCTGGGTTTCATCAAGAGGGTGGCGAAAGCAATAACCCCAGGAGGGGGGGAGGGGGGCTGAATCTGGACAGAGCAGAGCCTCAGCTCCTGCCCTCCTTTCTCTACTGCTCTATACTCTCCCCTTCTGAAATGCCAACTCTGACATAACTCTCATGGGGGACACGAGCATTTTTATGTGCAAGCTTGGCTGGAATGAGGTATTGTAGTTTCTCTAAATGTGTCCTCAAATTCTGCAGAATTAACTGTGAGGAAATCCACTGCGTGTTCCCCTGGTTCTTAAAACACACTTAAGAGATGCTATCCATGGGGCATTGCCCTTGGGTTCAATCACTTGTCCTGTTGACTTTTGTAGTTAGTCCTGAAAGGCAGGCCCACTGTAGTTTTAAAATCTCGATGGCTAAGTTTGGGGGGGAAAAAAATCTTTGCTTGTCTTCAATTTTCATTTGTCACCGAGTCCCATTTTCCCCCAAAAGTTACTAGACTTTGCTGGTCTCCTCAACTGAAACAAAACAAAACAAAACAAAACAAAACCAACCACAAGAAGCTGCTTTTGTTCACAGAGCAAGCTGCTAGTAGTGAGGGTCGGGGCCTCCTTCGTGGTGGTTTTTCAGAGACTAGCCAGATGGCTTCATAAACAGATTCCCTGGGAGGCTGGGGCAGAGGTGAGGACAGACAATGAAGATGGCCGGGTAGCAGCGCAGCTGGAATATTTTGTAAAGACGGGAATGGGAAACAGGGAAGTAAAACATCTGTCTTGGTGTTTAAGAAAGGCTAAGTGAAGGGACAGCCGGTGTCAGACTGTTAGAATCTGCAGAGGACCTCAAGAGACATGTGTCTAAAGTCCCATAAACCTCAGATAGATAAACCCTCTTGTCTTTCTTCCCAACTTTCAAAAACGGTATGCATTACTCAAGAAAAACCACAAAGCTTTGAGCTGGTACTGGTTAGCCCAATATAAGGTCAGATTTTGCATAGGAGATTTGGAGACAGGAAATACACTGGCGTAAAAGCAGTCAAGAGGGCACTGAAATAATACCACGATATCCACAGGCTTCACACCAAGATCTGCTGTCATCTGTAGGCATTTTTTTCCCTGGTGGTTTGTCTGCAAAGTGATGGTTTGGCTGCCTTGCCAGCAAGCCTTTGTTGTGAAATTCTACAAGGTGAAAGGAGGGGTAATTTTGTCATGCACCCTGAAATCTGTTCTCAAGAGGGAGGTGAGAGAAGATGCTGATATGGCCAATGAGTTTGTATAAGAACTTCTACACTTAAACAAAATAGAATATTAGGATCTTCTTTCATTAAGAGGGGTGTCGAAGTTGTCCAAAAGAAGGGCACCTGGGTGGCTCAGTGGGTTAAGTGTCTGCCTTTGGCTCTGGTCATGATGTCAGGGTCCTGGGATCCAGCCCCATGTCAAGGTCTCCTTGCTCAGCGGGGAGTCTGCTTCTCCCTCTGCTCCCACCTCACACCCTCTACTCCCCCTACACCCTGTACCCTCTCCCCACCAACTCTCCCCTCTTGTGCTCACACTCTCTCTCAAATAAATAAAAAAAACCTTAAAAAAAAAAGTGATCCAAAAGAAACCGCCACCATCTTTCCGCGTACTTATTAGGTAGGTCTTCAGGGCAGGATCTTCATTGTGCCTTTTAAAACTGTGTGCCCTTAAAGCATCATTCATCTCTGACAGTTCTGCAGGCCTGGCTGCTAAATTTTCAACTATCGAATTTTCATAATCCTTTTGTAAATGAATATGCTCCCAACCAACTATTACTCCTGAGAAAACTAGGAAGTGATCTGAAAAAGATGATAATTTATGATAATATAGAGCAAGACCAATTGTCCCTCTCTGATTAAACAGTTCAGAGTTGAACTAAAAGTCCAGGGATGTGAATTTCTAATCAGTATTATCCAGTGTTAAAACTCTCTTTGGTAAAACTTCCATTTAATAGATAATCGAGTATATTTCCTGAGAAGGGTTAATCTAAATATATCAGTTAGCCATTTTGCACAAGATTATTAATTAAAATTTGAAATTATAATACTGTGTATTAACACGTATGTTCTGATTTTAGGTGAAAGAGTGAGATATTTCTATTTTAAGTCAACATATCTACAAATCAGATTGAATGCCATTGTCACAGGAATGGTAAGATCAAGGTGATACTATAAACAAGGCTTCTTTAAGAATTTTGTGGACTGAACTATTATTCCCAGAGATCTGCACTCTACATCAAATCATACACATTACAAGGCACCCACATTTCACTTTAAACACATATGTACACACACAACTGATGGGTTTTATAAGCCAGATTTTAAAATTATATATAGTTACTTATAACTTATTTATTTGTTATTGGCTATAATGCCATGTATAATTAGAAATTCTTTTGAAGTGAGAAAAATCTAACCTGTAAATTCTTTAAATGTAATTACATTTTTATAAACATTGAATTTAACAATTAGTGACATCACTATTTTTTATAGTTATAGATATTGAAGTATTTATTTAGATTTAGTGATGATTTCTTCTTCTTCTTCTTCTTCTTCTCCTTCTTTTTGTATTTTAAAACCAATATATTTTTTGCCCCCTGGTTTCTAACATTTCTATAGCTTCTTGAGAGGCCTTGTATTCATAGAGCTTGATATTTATAGTGGCCTTGTTTATAAAATCCTTTAAAGTCATAAAATATCTTAAGAACTCATAGGCCATTGAGCAAGCACCATTGTATCATAGTTGCTTTTTTTTTAAATTAAATTTTCAAATTTTTTTATAGACATATATTTTTATCCCCAGGGGTACAGGTCTATGAATCGCCAGGTTTACACACTTCGCAGCACTCACCATAGCACATACCCTCCCCAATGTCCATAACCCCAGCTTTTTTTTTTTTTTAAGATTTTATTTATTTATTTGACAGAGAGAGAGATCATAAGTAGTCAGAGAGGCAGGCAGAGAGAGAGGGGGAAGTAGGCTTCCTGCTGAGCAGAGAGCCCAATGCAGGACTCGATTCCAGGACCCTGAGATCATGACCTGATCTGAAGGCAGAGGCTTAACCCACTGAGCCACCCAGGTGCCCCTCATGGTTGCTTTTTGTCTCTTGTCCTCAATAGCTAGATTACATAGGTCCAGGAATCAAGAGGGATAAGTTGGATTGGTTCCTCATATTAACAATCCTAGTAATCTTGTGGAATTCAGATTTAAATTCTGCGGGATTAGAAGTCCTGGTTTTGATGACGGGGGGGTAGAGAACTATGAGCACAGGACCAAGTACAGTTTCTACTGAATCAGTTTAGTCTCCTTTTGTTGATGGACCATATTTGCAGAAATGTTTGGCCCTGATTATCAGTAAGAACTACAATTTCTGCTACACAGTGGGGACAGGAAGGAGTATGTCTTGAATGAAGGGGATTCACTGGGATATCTCTAAGGGTTTCCAAAGCCCAGTGCTAACTTCAATTGCAGTCCAAGAACAGTAAAGCAACTGGGATGGGTGAGGGTGGGGAGAAATACAAGGTTCAGAAACATGGAAATGTTAAAGGAGATTTGCTGTGTGTATGTCAAATAGATTTGCAGAGAAGCCACCACTAGGCTGAGTTCTTCCCAGGGGCCTTATGGAGCACACCCTTCACAAGGACACTGTGGAAGGCACTGGTGAGGAGGGCACCAGTTTTATCATTTTCACAGACCTTATAAAGCTCTAGGGCCTTGGCACTGTTTCTGTAGTGCCTAGTGGATATATGGCCTTGTTTATAAAATTCTCTGAGAGTCTCTTTCAGGAAAGATCAATAGGGACCATCTCCCGTGATTCTTAGGCTAATAACTCTTAGGGAAATAGTTTTCAAAAAGGTTATGAAATTTATACAATGAAAAAGATAAAATGTGTCCTCATCAGGATGGTAAATCTAGATTCATGGGACAATGGACTGATCTCAGTAAAATTCTTCTCGAGCCTTATAGTCGACTTTCAAGATCCACTTTCCTCTGTTCCCTCAGTCCCTTCCAGTATGTATGGTCAAGTCTTGGAATACTTTGGTTGTATATGCTGTTTCCTTCCATAGCAAGGGCTGTATTTTCTCACTCGGATTGTGTTGTAACCTGATTCCAGTTTTGGTCCAGAGGCAATTGGAGAAAAGCAGTCTTGAGGAGAACAAGCATCTTCTTATAAGGCACTTAACTCAGGTGAGGCCCTGTTGCTGTTGGCAGTTGAGGAGAGGCTGGTTTCATCTAACAAAGGAGAGAGAGCCTCTTGGTAGACTGATGATTAAGAAGATTCTGAGTGTTCCACTTTGCAGGTTCACCTATCCAAATGTTCCCATCCTGGGTTTCCCACACTTTCTCTCTCAGAATTTTGATTTTGTCCCAGAGACCTGTTGAGGTTGTGCAGTTGGTCTTCCTTGCAGCTCTGCTGCTCTTACTAGTATATCCTGGGAATGATTTTCAGCAACAGCCTTCCCCCTCACTGAAGAAGAGAAGCCGTATCTCCTAGCTTGAACACTGCAAAAGAAGCATTTTCTTCAAAGGATGTCCCAAAGTTGATAGTTGAGCAACTAGAACCTCTCTTTTTCTTTTTCAAAGCATCTAAAGCCATTGACAAGATCTGTAAAACTCCATAATTCGCAAAATTACTGTTGCCCCTGCCATTCAAAGGCCACCACGACCACATAAACCAGTGCTCACCTTCTATCTATGTTTCACCCAGGTTGACCACCTGCAAAAGCCTTAGTAATTGTGATGCCGCTGCACCCCAGGGCTTACTGCATTACATTCAGTAATGGAGTCTTTCTGACCCATGAATCTGAACTCCAGATCCCATTATAAGGCTTGCTTTCTAGGGTTACTTCTGGAATCCATTGTCTTAACATAGATTTTCCCCAAAATTATGAGCCTGAAGGGCTTACATCCAGATTACTTTAGGAAGCGACCCCTCAGGACTAAGAAGAGTATGATAAGCAAGGAGGAAAAGTTAGTTTGAGAAAGCATTGTTAAGTTAATGAGCTGGTCATCCCTTTGGGAGACTGGGACTTGATTTCAATGGGGTCCTTCTGAGAGGTCTGCTAGGAGACACAGGATGAGAGTATTTATTCAATGTATCCACTATTTCCTTTTCTCCTTTCACCAAGGCTTAGCCAATAGGGTGTTAACTCCTCTCACTTCCAGGTTCCTGCACCTGTTTGAAAGGCCATGGTGTCCCACGTGGCAGTGCAGAGAAGTTCTGGGGCAGCTAAGACAAGGGATGTTGTCAGGTTATTCCTGCACATATTAGTCACTCATCATTGGCTAGAGTGAAAGCTGAGCTAGAAGGACATGAGGCAGGGCACATGCGCTGTCTCCTCAGGACCCATCCAAGAACTCACCTGTTAAGCTGAGATCAGAATAGAATGAGAAAACCCATCAATGATATTTATGTTATGGAGTATGTGCTACTCTATTTTTTTTAAAGGTATGTGTAGAAAAAGATCATATATTTTTCTTTCTTTTTGGAACATCTAAACCGTGGAAATAATAGAATACCCATAAAAGAAAGTCGCTTATGTATTTCAAAGGAAAAAATATAGTAAATAAATAAAGAAGGAAAACTAAGAAAAGGCCAATTGCCCAAAGGACTTAAGAGTAAAACCTGACCTTGGATGACTTGTCTCTCAGATACTCCACTCCTATGTTCTATGGGAACTCCTCCTCATCCTGCAGGTCCCGGGGCACCGCTCCTCTGTGGTTTCTCCAGCTCCTTCCACTTTCCTTGACTCTGCAGGTCTTGAATTTCCCCTCAGGGTCACTCGCTGTCTCACCTGTGCTCCCAAAGCTTTTGACACAAATCTCTCTTCCAACATCTGCCACATTGTACAGCAACTTTGTTTGTCCTTCCCATAGATTGGGGCCTTCTCTCACTTTTTCTCCCCCTTGAAGTCTTTTCTAGCATCTCATATGAACTCAATTTCTGAATTTCAGCCATTGTATCATTTAGCAGATGAATTTTTAGGGTCTGCTATGTGCCAGGCACAGTGGGAGAGACGCCATGCTATAAGACCCAGTTCTTGCCCTCAGGGGAACGCAGAGAAATCCAGTGGGCAGGTCAAGAGTTGGCTGATTAAAAGTCCAACCCCCGTTATAAAACCTGAAATCCCAGTTTCAGGTGTTAACCTGATAGTCCTGAGGGGAATAAACTCTTGGCATGAGCCAAGGAGATAATGGTTCCATCAAAAGTGAAGACATGGAGGGCGCCTGGGTGGCTCAGTGGGTTAAAGCCTCTGCCTTTGGCTCAGGTCGTGATCTCAGGGTCCTGGGATCGAGCCCCACCTCGGGCTCTCTGCTCATCGGGGAGCCTGCTTCCCACCCCCTCTCTGCCTGCCTTTCTGCTGACTTGTGATCTCTCTCTCTGTCAAATAAATAAATAAAATCTTAAAAAAAAAAAGCGAAGACACAGAGTAGCCAGGAGTTTGGTGACACTCCCCTGGGGGTCTGAAGACAAATGTCCCACCTCAGGTAGGAATGTGTAGGGAGGGTCCCAGAGCAGCAGTGCTCCTGCCTGAGCCACAGCGAGCCTGGGAGGGGGAAGAGAGGGAACCAGGATATGGGCCAAATCAGATTGCTAAACCCCATCCAGTTGTACTTAGAAATGAGGAACTTGTTGGTGCCCTCATTAGGACAATTGTTCCTTAGAATGAGAAGTGATTTAAACAAGATCTGCATTGCCTGGGCTCAACCCAAGTTCTTTCCCCACACCTTTACTCTGTCTACACCTGTTGGCCTTCTACCCAGGTCAGACTTGTCTCCCAGAACCAAATCACCTGGTGTCAATAGGACCCTTCTCTTTTATGTTGTGTTAACTAGGCTTTCCAGGCTGAGCTGGCCTACAAACCAGACCTGTAAGTGCTTCAGGAAGGAACAACCTGGAGGAAAGAGTGATTCACACTTTGAATATCAGGTCAGTTTCAGTTCTAGGTCAAGAGTTGAGACAGCCCAGACAAATGATCCTCTGCTCCTTCAAAGTCAGGCCCCTTTATACCAGTCTGAGGTTTCTGGTTAGGCATCTGTGGGAGCTTGTCTAGACCTCACTTTTCATATGGTGGAGTGTTCTGTTAACTTGGAAATTTTCATGAATTATTTTGAAAGCACCGCAAAACAGGTCC